CATGAATAATCGATTAACGCGTAACAATTTTCAATCGTACCGTATTGCATACATTGTTTACGTTACATTCCTTTTAATAAAAAAATATGAACAAAGTACGCATCATGCATAAAAGAAAATATGTATGTATATACGTGGAATCGTATAGTGCTTATTATCGAATTGAATTGAAAACAATGTATCTTTAGTTTCTCACTTAAGAGAGAGAGCAAAGAGAGAAAAAAAGAGAAAGAGAGAGAGAGAGAGGATACTCGTTTTTCGAGTATAGTATCTTCCTCGAATTCGCTCGAAGCTATTTCTCTTGTTCGTTGTCCAGTCTCTTTTCGACGATGGAAATATCTGTAATTGACAGTCGCGAAATACTCGCAAATACTTACCACCCTGTTCATATTTTATATTCCTTTTACATTTGAAAACATCTTTTTACCCTTCCTTACCCCCTCCAACCCACTCCCTTTTACTTCTTTCCATCAAACTGGTAGCTCACGCATGCTTGACGTTACGCGTATGGTAAAAACAGAATTGAAAGACAAAATAAAATGAAATATAAAATCAAATAAAATGAAATATAAAATCAAATAAAATCAAATCAAATCAAATGAAATATAAAATAAAATAAAATAAAATAAAATCAAATCAAAAGAAGGGGAAAATCGAGAAGAGAATTGAAAAACGTGCGAGTGGGGTTTTTTTAAAGGGGAGGAAGAGGGAAAAGAAAAAGAGAGAGAGAGAGAGGGAGAGAGGGAGAGAGGGAGAGAGGTTAAGAGGGAAGAAGAAGAGGATGGAATTTGCTCGAGGCATGGATACCTATTAGGTGGGTACATCGTTTATACCAGGCACGCACTTCAGCCGTGGGAGCGCACGCGATATCCTACCGGCTTTAGCCATCATTATTGTTATTAATAATAGTACGTAACGACCGATAATTGCTCAAGTCTGCCTGCGCCTCTGCTTTCCATTACCTTGCTGCTGCCAGCTTCCCTTGACTCGTCAGTTTTAGAAACAGAGAGAATGAATAGTGGGGGAGTGGGGTAGGAGATAGTAGATGGTAAGGGGAGGGCTGGGGGGAGGAAGAAGAGAAAACATCCTCTTCCATTCTCGTTCAACTTTGACGTTCCTTTTTGACGTTAGCAAATGCCAAGTGGTTAGGGTCAATGCTAATGGCCACGAAGAAGAATCATTCTGTTGCACCACGTGCACACCATCACCTCGGTCCACCATCTTTTTCTTCATCCTTTTCATCCTTCACCCCTTTGCTCCCTTTCTCCACTCCTTCTTCTTTTTTAAAGTCCAACGAAAGGGAAAATTAAGATAAGAAAAATATATTTTTGAAACGGATTTTCCAATCGGAATGATAAATAATAATAATCGGTATTTGTGTGTGTGTGTGTGTGATTTGATAATAGATCTTTTTCTTTATACTTCTCGTCCTTCCCCCCTCGTCCACCCTACCCTTTTCCTCTTTTAAAGTCCAACGAAGGGAAAATTAAAATAAGAAAAATATGTTTTCGAAACGAATTTTCCAATCGGAATGATAAATAATAATAATAATAATAATAATCGGTATTTGTGTGTGTGATTTGATAATAGAAATCTTAGGTTTATAATTTTGGTGGTATAAACTTATTTTATTTTTATATTGTAAAAACAGGTGTTAGAGAGAGAGTTGTATAAGATTAAATAATATTCGTTTTCGTGAGAAGGAAACGTAAAGAGCTTTATTTTTTCGTAATTATTACACACAAACTTAGAAGGAGAAAGAATATTTTGTTTTTTTCTTTTGTTTTCACGAAGTGTTCTTCTTATGGGCAATCATAAGTAACAAGTACCTACCTTGTGTTACTTATATTCAAACTCGAACTTCGAGTTTGCCTTTCGTGCCGAAGAGTTTAACTTAACTTCTCGAAGGGAGAGGATCCTTCGGCTATCTTTCTCGTCAATAAGAAGAGAGGAAGGATTTTTTTTATTTGGAAAATAGGCTGTAACCGAGAGATCGACAGGTATATCGTTCTCCTGATGTTTAAGGAAAAAACCTTTAAATATCTTATTCCTTCTTTTTCTTCAAATCTTTTTTTTTTAGTAATTTTTATTTTTGTTTTATTTTTTTTTTAACAAATCTCCTATCATATTATATCAGTTTTGTGTTTTTTTTTTTATTGTTTTTATTCGACATGTAGAATTTATCTATCTTTCTCTCTCTCTCTCTCTCTTTCTTTATTTCTCATTAATATTCCTTATTATCTACGTAATATTCAATTATAACGTATATTATTCAATTTATAACATTTTTTGTTGTTGTTATCAACGTCTCTTTAATTACGATTTTTTTTCTTTTAAAACGATTTACTTTTCATTGACCTAGCAATACCGTAGTAGTATTGTTTTTTTTTTATCTTCTTACCATTAGTAATTTAAATCACTTCGTTTACCTCCCCCCTTCCTCTCCTATATTATATCCTTTTTATCTCCTTCTTATTATTATTTTTTTATAGTAATTTTTTTTGTGCTAATTTGTTTTTTATCACGATTATACGTCACGGAGTTTTATTTGCTACAAATTATCTCGTTCAATGAAATTATTCATTTATCTTATTTCATTGTCAGAGTCGCATTATCTTTGTGGTTCGCGATGAATAAAATATCGACGATAATATTTAATGTTCGCTTTTTAATTATTGTTTTTCTTTATCTTTTTCCTATTCTTCCTTTCTCTCATCTTCGTTATTGTTTCATCCTTATTATTGTTAAAACGAATAATCCTTTCTACCTTCATTGACTTAGTATCTCGGTTGTTTTCTCGTGCGAAGGTTGCAAGGCCCCGAGGTTGTGCACGATCACGAATGCATTGGAAATGTTACACGTGTGGCCTATTCTCAGATCTCTCACGTTAGTTACATACATTAACATATACAGTAATATATATATATATATATATATGTGCCCATAATTATGAAAGTGATCTAAGTCAAAATTACAATTTTTAATTAGAAATTATTAGTAAAATTAAATTACTAATTAAAATTTAATTAGAATTTATTAATTATTTCACGTCACATTATTTTATAAATTAAATTAATTCAATATAATTTTCACGATATTGTCAGATAGTTAGATAGTGAACAGATAGTTAGATAGTGTTTGTTATATTTCAATATTATATAGAATTTATTTTTAATGTTCAAATGTAATCCTTTAAATATTTCGAAACAAGAGATATATTACTCTTAGACCACTTTCATAATTATGGGCTCATATATACATATATATATATATATATAAATATATATAGCTGATTATCGTGGGTTAGCAAGCACACTCGCGTTTCTTGCACGCGCGCGTTGCATTCTTGTTCCTGAATCACGATGCGTTAGGTAAGCTAAGCTTCTAATGACTGCATCTTTGCATCGTCAACCCACCTGGACATGCTTGGGACATATTTAGTATCCGGTGTCGTGATCAAGTATATTATTCTTAACCTTCCTCCAAACGTTAATCAGAATAATATGTATAGACGAGTATTCATTTTATTTAACGTAAGTTCCACAAGATCATCGTCATTTTTTTTTTTCTTCTTGATCTTTGATCCCCTTCGACTCTTGTTTTCTTTTTATTATTATTATTATTATTTTTTGTCTTCTTCTGTTTTTCATTCGATCGAAAATCTTTCAGTCGGTTTAAAAAACACAATTTTTGAGAATATTGGAATATTATAAACAGCTGATCGGCTGATAGGAGGGGAGATTTTATTCTCAATTCTTAAAATCAATTATAATTATTATGCAAAAACGCATCGTTAACGATCTGATTCTTTTCTATAAAAAAAATGAGTAGGATAATATTATAATATTATAATAGGAAAAGTTAGGGATGCGAGTAAAATATATTCACGTATAAAATCAGCTATTTTCTCGACTGCTTTCTAAGGGGTTGAAGAGGAGAACAGGGAAGAAAGGGGAAGGGGGGAGTTAGTGGATGAACGTCGTATGAATTATTTAAAAGTTCGGGGTGTGTCATGAACGTTGTAATATGCGGGAGCCAAACGGATTCGGTGTTTTGTCACTTTGTCGAGTAATAGTTGTTCGTTAAATTTTAAATGAACATTTTTATGTGAGATATGGAATCGTTCTCGAGTATATACATATATATATATAATTCGGAGAAAAAGAAACGGGCTTGTAAAAATAATACAAAAAAAAAAAAAAGGAAAAAGATAAAAAAAAAGGTAGTGGGAAGAAAACGCAATGTAATTTAAATTAGTCCGACGTAATTTCTATCTACTAGTCTTCGTGTAATGACCATCGGGAGCTTAATTTATGACTCAACGTAACTTTGAAATTGATTAATCATCCTCGAGATTGTAGACGAAGTATACCTCCTCGGGCCGTTAATTCGTGTAATTAATTCGATAACGCGTCATGGTGGAACGATACCCGTAGTCACGAAGAGAAACCAAATCCTTGTTTCTGATTTCTTTCTTTCTTTCTTTTTTTCCCCCTCCCACCTCCTTCAAATTTTTTTAATCCCTTCTTTCCTATCCCTTCTTTTTCCTTTTTATTTATTTTTCATTTTATTTTTGTTTTTTTTGTTTTCTTTTTTTTTGGTATTTTATTCATCGAACATTCTTTCTTATTTAATTACTTATTTCTCTCGTCCAAAATTATAATTCTTAATACGGAATCACAGGGAACTTGGACATAAAAAGAAGTAGAACTTAATTTAACTAAGTTGAACGTTTTGTCCCTTTATTGGGACTTCTTCAGCAACTTAATTTTATAGTTCGGCGTCTTTTTTTTTTTTATTATGTAGACATACATTTTTCATTTTATTAATATTCCAAACACAAAACATCTAAACTTCGTTAAATATTCGATCGTTACAATTTAAAACTCTCAACCACACTTTTTTATACAGACTTTCTTAAAAAAAAGCGTTCGTATTTTATACATTTATACGTGTGTATCTGTATAATCAATCGAGAAACCTTTCATTTCTGGTTTCAGGTACGCTTCGTCCGCCAGGCCTGATAGGTGGAAGTAAACCCAAAGTTGCGACGCCAGCTGTCGTTGCTAAAATCGAACAATACAAGAGAGAAAATCCGACAATATTCGCATGGGAAATTAGAGAAAGACTCATATCCGAAGGTGAGTCAGTCATTATTCATTATTTCTGGGTTTTTTTCTTTTTTTTTTTTTTTCTTTTTTTCATTATTATCATATCTCACATATATTTATGATTAAATCATTGTTTCGAATCAAAGAAAAAAAGAAAATAGAAAATATGTGGTAGAGAGAGAGAGAGAGAGAGAGAGAGAGAGAGAGAGAGAGAGAGATGATACTTCGTTTTGTATATCATTTTTGCATATCATTACGAATGAGTATATTTCAATTGGTTAATTCATTAATTATGATTACCCATTATTTGTCACTTTTTCTTTTATCTAATACGAAAATTCTTGAAAAATTTGTAGGACACGTAAACGACGATTATTTCATTACACATGACATCATTAATGTGCGAACAACGTATCGATTTCATTTCTAAATTATTATTACGCATATCATTGTGTCAGTATCTAATTTAAAAAATTACAACGATTACAAATTTTCTCACACACATAACATATCATAAATAATTTCTTTATATTATCCAAAAAAAAATAGTGACAAAATTAATGTATATACTTATAAATGTTAAAATATTTGTATTTAACGATGTAACAACGTGTAACGACATACTTATATTATAAACGAGGTTTAACCATAAAGAAGAGAGAAAAAAAAAAAAAAAAAAAAAAAAAAAAAAAAAAAAGGGGCCCCTTCCCTTTTTTTAAAATTGGGCATTTTTTTTTTTTTTTTTTTTTTTTTTTTTTCTTTTTCTTTCCAAACGATTCTCATGATTCTAAAGGAAGTTTCTCGCTCGTTTAAAATCGCGTCCTCAGTCAGCTTGGTTTTACAATGAGCGTGCGTAAGCCAAGCCTGTGATTAGAAGAGAAGGCGTACGAATGAGCAACTTATACCATGCATAAGACATAACTTACAATCGACCACGTAGAATTAAGAAACACGACGATTTTTTCTTTTTTTCTTTTCTTTTTTTTTTTTAGTAGATACGCGACCTTGTAAATGAAACTTTGTTTCTACTACCACGGCACACTTAATTTCTTCTTCTTCTTTTTCCTCTTAAAAGAATAAGGCTTCTGACGTTATATTGAAGAAGAAGTTATTTTACCAGTCACCGGGTTAATCCTACATCATTCGCTTTTTGAATATTATTATTTATATTTCGATTCTTTTATTTAATATTTGGTCTTTTATCTTCTTCTATTTTTTTGTTTCTCTTTCTTTCTTCTCTCTCTTCTTTCCATTCGATATTTCTAAAACGGCATCGTTTCCTCGTATCTCGATGCCTTTCACCCGGAAGATCTGATTTACATGAGAAAGATACTCGTAAAATTTCTATCCGTTTGCTGCTTTTTTTTTTCTTCGACAGAAAAAACCGGAAAAAGAAAAAGAAGAAGGAGTTGAATAACGTTTCGTAAAAGGTGAACGACTCAAAGGATTCTTACTTGAAGATATATATATTTTTTGTTGTTGTTGTTGTTCTTCTTCTACTTGAACGTTTCATTCATAAGAACAGAAGAGTCAGAGTCAGAGATAGGGAGGAAGTAACGCTTTAAAATAAACACAGGGTATTATCCGTGAAATTTTCGCGTGAGATCGGAAACGATACGTTCGAAAACGATTAAGGCATTTATATTCGGAAATCCAAGCAAGCTCCGTGATTTTCTATCTTATCTTCGATCGATAGATATCAATCTATCTATCTATCTAGAAATATTCTTCTATTTAAATTCAATCTAACTTATGATTAACCTTCCTTGACATAAATGACGTCAACGTTAGGACGATTTATTTAACATATTATCTTACTCGAATACAATTTTCCAACTAATAATAATAATTAATCATGCGAGAATAAAAATAATTAAACCAAAGGAAAAAGTCACTGATCAATTTTATAATCGTTTTTGTTGTTGTTGTGTTGTGTTTTTACATTATATTAATATATATATAGGTATAAATAATATTTGCTGAAACTTTTCAAAGAAATTGCAAAGATGCACAATTTACAGCATCGTATTCTTTGACATTTTTTGAACCTTTTCAGATTGATTAATAACTCGATATTGTATTCTACGCGTAGACAAAAGAGTGTACTTTAATTTAATATAAGTTTTATTAAAATCTATTTACTTTTAGTATACAAAATATTTACCAAAACTTTTCAAAGAAATAGCAAAGATGCACAATTTACAGCATTGCATTCTCTGACATTTTCTGAACTTTACATGCTAAATTTATAACTCGATATTGTATTCTACGCGTAGACAAAAGAGTGTACTTTAATTTAATATAAAAATTATTAAAATCTATTCACTTTTAGTATAAAAAATATTTACCAAAACTTTTCGAAGAAATAGCAAAGTTGTACAATTTATAGCATTGCACAGTCTCTGATATTTCTTTGAAAAGGTTGCGTATGGCTGTGTGTGTCTGTGCCCGAGAATGTATTCTTTTCAACGTTTTTTAAATAATTATTTGATATTCCATAGAATATCAAAGTATTATGTTCAATGCTTAGGAAAAACTGTAAGAATTCTTCTGTTTCCGACTTCATCGGAATGCTCTTTGCATTGATGAGAATGCTGAGGACTTACTAGCAATGGCGGATTTCCGGCTTTGACGGAAACATATATATATATATATTAATAATCAATCGCACGAGAGAATAAAAATAATGAAACTAAACCAAAGCAAGAAAAACCCTCGGAACAATTTTATAATTATATATGAGTTTCAAAGGGAAAATTGAAGACAGTTAATAAATTTTGATGAACAAATTTATTTGATCTTGTTGAACGTTTCGTCCCTTACTGGGGACTTCCTCAGCAACTCGATCACCTAGTTCACGCGTCAATACATATTATTTTAGAGTCAT